CTCAGAAGAAATATGCTAAGTTCCATCAATGACTGAAAATAATTCAAATTAAAATATTTTTTTCAATATAAACTACTGACACAATTTCATCATGCAAATTGGAACAATTTAAGTTGGAAAAATATTGACTATATTATATGTATATAATATAAAAATCACAACAATAAGCACTTGTCCTATTTTTTTATAAGCTATTGAACTAAAGTATTTCCAACAGTTCCTAATTATTTGCTTAATCGTCTTGTCATCAGCTAGTGCTCGCCAGTATTAAGCAATAGCAGCAACCAGGAAGAAAAAAAATTCTGGAAGGAATATTTTATTTTTATTTTTATTTTTTTTAAAGATTTTATTTATTTATTCATTACAGACAGAGAGAGAGAAAGAGAGAGAGAAGCAGACTCCCAAGGAGCAGGGAGCCCGATGCGGGACTCGATCCCAGGACCCCGGGATCATGGCCTGAGCTGAAGGCAGACGCTTAACCATCTGAGCCACCCAGGCGCCCTGGAAGGAATATTTTAAATGCAGATAATGCCACCCATTATCTTCGATATATATCTACAGGGCAGAAAATGGAATTAGAGAACAGAAAAATCAAGATTATTTCAAATAAAAGACTCTCTCCTGCCTCACTGTCAAGATGCCAGCATATTATTCATTGACAATTGTTATCAGTGTGCCCATATCTAATGACCAGCATACCCTTCCTACTACCACCGTCTAATTTGCTGTTTATCTGGTGTGTTCTGAGACAAGACAAAAACAAGCTAATTAACACAGTGTATAAAATAAAAGCAAACATGGGGCGCCTGGTGGCTCAGTTGGTTAAGTGTATGCCTTCAGCTCAGGCCATGATCCCAGGGTCCTAGGATCAAGCCCCACGTCGGATTCCCTGCTCAGAGGGAGCCTGCTTCTCTCTCTCCTCCCCGCTCGTGCTCTCTCACTATCTCTGTCTCTCTCTCTCTCAAATAAATAAAATCTTAAAAAAATAAAAAGCAAACAGGTTCTGTGGGAAAGACTATCTTATCAGTAAAGTACATGTACTTTTAGTCCATAAACTTAATGCTATAGACTTCAGTTACTCATAGGCCTCTTCTGATTAATTTCTGATTCTTAACTTTGTTCCTGCTTCTTGACTGTGTACAGTTCCTGATTCTACATAGATATACATCTAAACTATTATCTCATTGGGAAATAATTCTTCCTTCACATCAGCCTCCCTAACTAGCTTATGAACTCTATGAGTTCACAAGCCACGTTTTATTCATCTTTGTACCTTAGTATCTATAACAGTGTCAAGCACACAGCAAGCTCTCAATGAATGTTTGCTTCTGAAATGACTCACAGGGGCTGCTATGAGTGAAATGTAATGATATATAGCAATTTGTAGCAATATGCACATAACCTTTCATTAAAGAACAGAAGCTCTAGGCTATATGGCTGCTGGCTGCTCAGAGTATTACAGGGTATCAGGACTTTTGGTAAGATAACCACACAGGCACAGTGCGCCTGGGTGGCTCAGTCGTTAAGCGTCTGCCTTCGGCTCAGGTCATGATCTCAGGGTCCTGGGATCGAGTCCCACATCGGGCTCCCTGCTCCGCGGGAGGCCTACTTCTCCCTCTCCCACTCCCCCTGCTTGTGTTCCTGCTCTCGCTGTCTCTGTCTCTGTCAAATAAATAAATAAAAATCTTAAAAAAAAAAAAAAAGATAACCACACAGGCACAGCATGTCCCTTAGCTTTGTAGCTAACTTGTTGCAATTAATTCAACTTAAGTATTTATCAGATCTGGCCACTTGGGGTATAGTGGTAGACAAGAATATCAGATCACTCTACCTCCCACATATCCCTCAAATGCATTGCTGCTTTCATCCAAGTTCAGGCAACCATCATCTCTACTGGAGTATTCCAGTTCATCTCCCTCCTTTCATGTTTAGTCCCCTCCAATTCCTTCTCCACGATGCCACTAAAGTGAGCTTTCTTTAAAAAGAAATTCCGGGGGTGCCTGGGTGGCTCAGTCGTTAAGTGTCTGCCTTTGGCTCAGGTCATGGTCCCAGGGTCCTGGGATCAAGTCCCGCATCGGGCTCCCTGCTCAGCAGGAAGCCTGCTTCTCCCTCTCCCATTCCCGTTTGTGTTCCCTCTCTCGCTGTGTCTCTCTCTGTCAAATAAATAAAAAATCTTAAAAAAAAAAATTCCAATCATATCACTCTTTAAAGCCTTTCAAAGCCTTCCCTCTGCCCTTAAGATAATGTCTAAACCCCCTCAAATGACTTAACAGGTTCACCCCAATTTACCTCTCCAGCCACACAGCTCACCCACTCACTCCCTAACAGTCTTTATTCTAGCCATATTAACCCACATAGAACTCCATAATTAGACCATGCTGTCTTCCAGTGGAAAACTGTGCTTAGATGCGTCAAGAAAAATCTCAATAAACATTAAAAAAAACTCATTATGGATTTAGTTCTCTGAAACTAACAGGCTGCTTAAGGCCAACTGTTGACAACTATAGTCATCTAAACAAATGTTCCTTCTTCAGAAAGAAAGAAGGAAAAATACAAATGAATTGAGCTCTAGGGGAGGAAAGGTCGGAAACATAAACTTCTTGAGAAAAGGTACCAAAGCGTCCATGTCCTGGTGCTTATCATCACCCAGCACATAATGGTTGCTCAATAAATGCTTGCTGAATGAATGAATGACAAAAGTGAAGTGAAAATAAATTCTGGGGACAGAACAACCCAGAAATATTAAGGGGAGTGGTCACGTGTCCCAATTCTGACCAGAAAAGATTGAAGGAAAGGGCTACTGGAGGTTTCCAGGAAGGGCCTTCTTCATTCCTACACAAGAGCATAGAAGGCCTGTTTCTCTCCTACAGGACATGAGTATGGATGCAAGTAGACCTAGTGGCTACTGGCTGCTATTTTACAACCATTCAGAAAGTTGGCGCTGTGGAAAACAGAGACAGAGCTTCTCATCCTGATAGCCAATGTTGAACTTATGGTCCCTTTACCCCTGGACTTCTAGTTATGTGAGCCAATAAACTTTCTTTTTATTTAAGTCAGTTTGACCGGCACTTGCAGCCCAAAGTCTCCTGATACTGTCTCAGAAGCAACAAAGAGAAAATCATGTTGATGATGAACACAATATGTCATCATTTCATTTTGTAGCCTAATCAGAAACTAACCTCAAAAAACAATAGCAAAATGAATCATTGTTATAAAGGAATACAAATCTTCTACATAACTTGTAAGGCATTAAAACTAGATCAAATAATTCAGATATATTTTCTGTTAAAAAAAAAAAAAAGGTATTCAGCTCTCACCGGATAGAATTAACAGAATAGACTTTATAGAAGAAAATACTAGTGAACTGGAAGACAGCAATATAAAGTATCCAGAAAGAAACAGAGAGAAAAAAGACTGGAAAAAAAAAAAAAAGAATGAACTGTGAGAAAACTTCACATGGCTCAATATATATGTGATTGGAGACACCAAAGGAGAAGTGGAAGAGGTCAGGGAAAAATATTTGAAGAAATAATGGTCAAAATTTTTCTGCATTTGATTAAAATGTATAAATCCATAGATTTAAGAATCAACAAATCACAAGCAGAAGAATCATGAAGAAAACTACACCAAGGCACATCATAATCAAATTGCTTAAAACCAGTGATAAAATGTAAAAAGCAGCCAGAGGAAAGACACATGATGTACAGAGAACAAGATTTAAGAATTACAGCAGACTTCTCCTCAGAAAGAATGTACTTCAGAAGACAGTGAAGCATCGTTTCTAAGGTAATGAAAGAAAAAAAATGATCAGCCTAGAGCTCCATACCCACTGAGTATTTTCAAAGGAAAGCAAAATGACTTTTTTGGTCATAAAAGTTAAAAGAACTCACCAACTACAAACTCACACTACCAGAAATGTTAAAGGAAGTCCCTTAGGCAAAATGAACACCATACCAGGTGGCAATATGAACTACAATACAGAGGAATAAAGAGGTCTAGAAATGGTAAATATATCAGCCTTTTTTTATTTTTGAAATCTCTTTAAAAGACAATTAAATGTTAAAAGCAAAAATAATAACAATATATGGTGGAGTTTATAACATGTAGAAGGAAAATGTATAAAAATGATAGCACAAAGGCTGAGGGGAGGAGATAAAAGTATGTGGGAAGAGAAATTATATTACTTGAAGGTAGTCTATGATAAGTTAAAGATGTATACTAGAAACCCTAAACCATAAAGCAACCATTAAAAAAAAATTTTTTTTAATTTAAAAACCCAGAGTTATACCTACTCAGCCAACAAAAGAGATAAAATGGAATTAAAAATGTACTCAATTCAAAAGAAGGGAGAAAAAGAGGAAAAGCAAACAAAGAACAGATGTGACAAGCAGAAAACAAATAGCAAGACAGATTTAAGCCTAAGCATAATCAATAATCACATGCAATGCAAATGGCCTAAACACTTCAAATAAAAGGCAGACATTGTCAGACTGCATAAAAAGCAGTTACTTATAAAAAGACTAGATAGATATAAAATATAAAGACATAAAGGCTAAAACTAAAAAGATGGGAAAACATCTATAACGATAACACTAATCAAAAGAAAGCTGAAGTAATTATATTAATACCAGACTACCAGACTAGTATATTTCAGAGCAAAGAATATAATCAAGGATAAAAAGAGTCATTTAATAATAATAAAGGGTTCATTCATCAAGAATACATAATAATCCTAAACATTTATGCATTCAATAAGTCAGCCCACCAAAACAAGAATATAGAAAGATGCCTTTCATGGTTAAAATGCACCATCAACATTCCTGAATCAAAAGTGAACTTTGCCAAAATGGGGCTTAATATCTTTGTGTAAGAAGTGGCATGCAATTCTACTAATAAAAGTGCAGTATTCCCCAAAGGGTCAAAGGTAGTAGTGTGTAAAATGTCAAAATATTTATGACTTCAATGCCAATTCTGATCAAAGTGACCTAAAGCTGACTCACCTTTCATATTGCCTATCTCCTGGTAATGAAGCACCCCAACGTCGAAAGTCCATGATTAACATAAGTAAAAGGAGACAGGATATGAAGAAAAGTCCTAGGAATGCCAACCGCTGACGTGGAAATGGGCTCACTGTGGGCACAGTGAAGTACCAGGAGGCTGGGCAGAGGTAGGAAAAACTGATCCTGAAATGAGACAAACATTATTAGTAAGAAAAGTCTCTACAGTTGAGTGCTAAAGAAAATGGTTTTTAAACTGGATTAAAGCCCTTCCTAATAAAGGCAAAAATTTATGCCACCAGAAGTCTATAAATGTTCTCTTAGTCTCAAATTTTAGAAAAGAACCTATATGGTTCATGGTGCTTCTATAAATCAGAAAAGCCTTATCTGCTCTTTTCCCAATGTCTGCACTTTTGGGTGTAACCGAATTAATCTCATGTTTATGAAAAGATCACCAGTCTCCCCCGTCAATCTCATAACACTGAAGAATCAGAGCAACTACGACATTCCCATCAAGAATGACGTCAAAAAACCGGATAGTCAGAATACTTATTTAACTAATTAAAAAAATATTTTAATAAGTAATATATGCACATGGTAAGAAAAAATCAGTTTAAAAGGATACAGTGGAAAATGAGTCTTTTGCCTTAACCCACCATTTCCCACTCGAAGGCAACCGCTGGTACCCAGTTTCTATGTATTTTCCCAGGGATATTTCATGTTTACACAAGCATAAATTTATATAATACATGACAATATACATGTGTGTATCTCCATTCCTCTGGTTTTACACTGTATCTACTGTTCTACATCTTTCCCCACTTACTCTATTTGACAACTGTTCCATTTGGTACATACTGATCCACATTAATCTTTTCTGAAAGTTTCGGAGCATCCCAATGTATGGATACACATATTCAACTATTAAGTTCACTTTCCATATTGATTCAAAAGGATCTCAGCCTATTTTCAAAGTTCATTTAAAAAAAAAAATCTTTGTTTAACCTCCTCAAAAAGCCCGTAGCTTTCTAAAAGAACATTGCATCTTAGCACTTTTCGGCTGTCAGCAAGCACTCATTTCACTCCATCACCCTGGGGTTACGAGCCAGAAACTGTAGTGTCTGCCTTCAAAAAAAAAAATGTCACTTTGATCGTCTTAGCATCCATCCGACCAAGCTGCAAAGTCCAGAAGCAGCACTAGGGCAAACTTCACTTGTAAAAACATCCCAGGGCCCCTCCACCTACCTGCCACCCCCAACTGAGCCCCAAGCTGAGGAGAAAATGTGCAGCCTTACCTAGCCATGGGATCCCTTCAGTGGTCTCAGTGCCTGTCACCTCCTTTTCTTTTTGCCCTGAGAAACTGGTCTCCTTGTCTCAGGCATCTCCTAAGTCTGCAGCCTGTTAAGAGTTCGTTGGGTTTCAGGCTTACCTCCAGCAGTGCCCACAGGACAAGCCTTCCACGGGAAGGCCAAGGCGCCCACCCACGCCAGATGCGTCCGCTCTTGTTCCCGGGGCCCAGCTGACGCTAAGCCGACTCCCCGGGGGCCGGGCGTTCTCGAGGCACCGGCGCTCCCCAGGTGGCGGGTGGGGGTGCCCACTTCTCCTCCCCGCCTATCCCAGTCCCGCGGCCCTCCCGCGCTCGCACTCACACGTCGAGCGGCCCGCAGGCTCCCTCGGCAACGTTCCGCTGGGTCCAGAGCGCTTCCCCCCGCGGCCTTTAGCCCAGCCGGAAAGAGGCCTGGGCGGGCGGCGGCGCCACGTCCCCAAGGAAACCGCAGGGAGCCAATGACTGACGGCCGACCCGCCGAGATGGGCCCACCCTCCACCCAGCCCAGGCCGCCGGCGAACTAGCTCCGTCGGCCGCACGTCCGTTCGCCAGAGTGGCCAATCCCCAAGAGCGTTCGGCCGCTAATGCCCGCCCCGGGATTTCGAGCGCGTCCAATCCGGAAAGGCGTCGTGCCGTAGCTCCGCCTGGACGGGCCAGCTGTAGGCGCTCAGGTGAGCCGTGCGAAGCGGTGCAAGGGTGCCCTGCGCCCGCTGCCCTCTCGGCGGCGCGATTTCTCTGCTGGCTGCTTGCTAGCTGCCGCTTCCAGGACTGAGCGGCCCCGGCGGTTGAGTCTTGCCGTGGCCGCGAGAGAAGTGCATCCCTTGCCCACAACCTATCAGAGGTATTGTGTCCACCAACCCTGATCGCCAGAGTCAAACCTTCCGTATAGCCTCCCAGACTTATGCCTCGGCTTCCTTGTCTTGTTCCTGTTAGAGAAACATAAATGGGGGAGAATATCGCTTACACCGAAGCGCTTATAGTATTCGTTCAACATTCATTGAATGTCTGCTGTGTGCCAGACGTGAGCCGCCGTGTCCCTGCCCTCCCAGACCTTACAGTAATAAATACAAAGGTAATGTTTCTTTAATGTTTTTCTTCCTTGCTTACACCAACCGTTTCTCTCATTTCCAGGAAGGAGCCATTTGGACAGGATAAAGTTCAAGTCCTTACAAACGTGGCATATACATGGCGATCCGGGACCCACCCATGCAGCATCTTCTGCTGCTCCTCAGCCCCCTTGCTATGCTTCAACAACGCACATCTGTGGCTCTGCCCTCTTAGGCTTTGTCCTTTCCTCCTTCTCCACCCTTCCCTCTGCCTTGAATAGCCTTCCCAGCCTCTTAGCCAAGCCAACTCATATTCATTCCTTACCACTTAGCTTAAGGGTCACCTCCCCTAAAAACCTTCCTTGCCCTACAACCCCGTCATATATGCCTGTTGTTTCACTTACCATATTGAATTACAATTTATGTGTCTGTCTGTCCCTGTCGACAGAATATGCTTGAGGGCAGGGACTGTCTGCTTCCACAGCAATGCTGGGTACTGTCTGGAGCATACAATACAGCTAATGTATGATAAATAAGTGAATGAATGTAGAAATAAATGAAGACCACCCAAATGAGATAAAAAAGAGGATATCTGTTCTACACCTGTTATAGAAAAGTGGTCAGCTACCAACACTTACATCTGGCAGAGACCTAAAGACTGTCAGGGGAATGGGAAGGCTTTAACTGGTGGGGGGGGGGCAGGGCGGGGAGAAGGAAGGCTTCATGTATGCTCTGATTTGAGAGTTTTAGCATGGGGAAGCTGGCGGTGGGCTTACTAGGAGCAGGGCACCTTATGTGATTGTCCGTGGGGAGCATATTTGGCTTTCTCTGGTTGGTCCTGAGTTAGAAGGCAGGGAAGCTGATAGTCAGTGACCAGTAGTGAGCGCACTAGGCTATGAGCAGCCTAGTTGGTCATGGGTCACGATTCTAATCATCATATATGGTCTGACATTGTCCAGCTTATATGTTCAGGCTCTCCCAACTATTATTTTTTCCCTCCATTCCCCTGCCAGCCTGAATGGGCTTTCTAACTTTCCATCGATTCTCAGTGTTCTGTTTTTCTTTGTCCTTCAATCGCTACTCTGCTTCAGGTGTTATAGTTTATCTGGGCCCCCAAAAATCACATTGAGTAGAACAGTTGGATAAAGTTAGGATTAACTACAAAATTATACAAATATCAGGTGTTTATATTATTCCAGAGCTCAGTTCAGGTAGTCATGGGGAAAACTCAACAAATGTTTTGGAATATATATATTTTTTAATTCTTGAGGTTGTCTGCCAACTGTGCAGTTCTGTCTAACCTATGTATGTTTCAGTCCACTTAATGGGTCTTTTTGAGTGGAAATAGAATTCCTATTTATGTTTTAAATAGTACTTAATTCATGTGATTTATGAACTGTATTAACTTAGAGCTTGAAGGTGCATTAAAACATCAACTTACATTTCATAACTACTGTTATAAAACAGAAAAGAAACTCATATTTTAATCCCAACACTTCATTATACTTTCTTTGTCCATTGTGTTTGGATAATACTTTCTTCAACAAGTCCATATGCATTCAGGAATTTGTAAAACATGATTCTTTACAGAAGCCTGCAATGCTTATCTGATTAACAACAGCTCACAGGGCTGAGTTCTGAGGTTTCCAGTCAGGAGGCCAAAAAAAGTAGCTTGAGATCATTTCCCCATCTCATTTGCTGTAACTCTCAACATGTTGAAACAAATTACAGAAATCCATATTTCAAAACTGGTCTTTAACTGCCTTTCAAAGCCTTATCTACAATTACATTTACAATTTTCTCAAGAAGTCCTTGACTCTACCCAGCTCTGAGCAAAATCAGCCATACCAGCCCCACACTCGGTATACAGTTGTCTGTATCACTTTATTTCCCCTCAGTTCTCCTTCATTCTACACTCCATCCTGCTTTAACCTCTAAAGGAGTTGAAGTACTGTGGTCTTCACTCTCCTTTCCAAGTTTACTCACCTCTCTTCATGTGCCTTCTTGTCCATGACAAAACTCATTGTCTTGCCACTCTTACTTTATCCACCCAAACCTCCTCCATTCATATTCCCAACTTTGGTCAACTACCCTGTGGTTCACCCAAGCAGAAATTTGCAAGTCATTTTAGAATCTCTTCCTTCTACTTCCTTTTTGCTGTAGGGGAGCAAAATTTGCCACCCCCCCAAATGGGTCTCTTTTGCATGTGGATTATTTTAGGCTGATTATTTTTAACAAACAGAAGGCTCAGGAAGGACCTCTCAAAATGCCCCCCTAACTGCCTACAAGAATTTGGATACAGGACCTGCTCCAGGAAGGGAGCTAGCACCACAAATAACTACAGTATAATATGAACTAGGTGTGGCAGACAGGGAGGAACTCAGCAAAATCTGTTTACTAAAATTCCTTTCTGTGTCCCATTTTTTTCTGTATGGATCAGCAAACATTTGTTTACCACATTTACTCTTTTTCATCTTCCTGTGAATTGTCCTCCTTCCCTTTGAAGTCCCAGCTCAGAATGGCATATAAGCCTCAATTGCCTGACTACCTGTAGGCCTCTTAGTCTCATGGAACTCCCATCTGTATGTAATTAAATTTTATTTTCTCCTGTTAATCTGTCTCATGTCAATTAATTCTTAGATCAGCCAAGAGAATCTTGAGGGGCATAGAAAATATTTTCCTTCCCAACGCATATTTCATCCAGTTAGTGGTGACTAGTTGTTCTTAATTCAAGTTTCTAAAATCTTCTGATGCAGCCTTCTAGCTGGTGACCCTACCTCCAGACTAATGCCCCTCCTTAGTGCCCCTCCATTCTGATATAGTGAAATATAATCATGCAAATTCCTGTTTTAACATCCTTGTGGTTCCCCATCCCAATCGGATATAATCCAGATTCCTTGGTATGGTATGGCAGATTCTGCTGACTGCCTACCCAAAAAGCCAACAATCTCTCTTCCACCTTTAACAGAATCCCAATTTTATTCTTATAACCACACTGCTATGCTTGGTCATATGCTTAAAGAGTGCTGGGCTCCAACCCCAGCCCCAGGGAGTAAACTGTGATTGGTCTAAGTCAATCATGGTGTCCCACTCCCTAACCAAATATTGAGCCTGGGCATCTGATGCAATTCTAGCCAACGATATTGAAGGGAAGCCAGCTGTTGGGAGGAATAGGAGGAAGAGGGGAAACATTTCTGGGAGAGGTTTTATCCAACTTAAAAAGAGCATAAAAAGTTCACATAATGAGAGTAAGAAGAGAAACCCCTTTTCTGCGTCCAGAAGTAATCTTAAGGATATGATGCCTGGAGCTGCTGTAGCCATCTTAAAACCATAGGGTGGAGGAGTCAGGGTGTGGGGTTGGGGGAAGCCTAGAAATAACAGAATAGAAATACAGAAAAATCCTGGATCCTTGATAACATCATTAACGTCATTGCTAACTTAACCAACCCAGGAGCAGCCCTACATATGGACTTACAATTTGAGATACTAAATTCATTACTGCTCTCATTTTTAAGTCTGTTGCATCAGGTAGTTCTCGCACTTGTGCTCTCCTAATTGATACTTGTGGCTTTCAGTGCCTGATATGATCTAGCCCCCAACATCCTCTGAGCTCCCCCCAATAGGTATTCTCACCCATAACCCTGACATATTTACAGTTCTCAGAATTGTGCCCTCTCTTACCTCTGAGCCTTTGTACTTGCTATTACTTCCGCATAAATGACTTTCTCTCACTCCTTTACCAAAGGAACTCCTGCTTATCCTTCAAAACTCAACTCACATGTCACCTATGAGCTCCCCCAGTCTGCCTGGGTGCTTCTTTTTCTCTGCTCTTGTAGCACTTTGCTCATGGATGCTTCTATTAGGGCAAGAATAATTGTTTTAAAAGCTGGCAGCTTTGTGAGTGGACCTGGTACCAGTTGGCCTGATAGAAAGACAGAGTAGCTAGATTTGGGACCTTAATGGGTGTGTTTGGTCAAGGAAAGTGGGATCCCTAGGCTTAGCCTAGGTGGAAGAGGTTTAGATCAAGAAGACTGATTGCTCTGCCTAATAAAATACAGGATTTTGAGCATTCCTTCTAGAGACTAGGCTTGGGAAGCCCTGGTAAAACAAAAAGGAAAAGACATGAAGGAAAAGAGGGACCTGTGCAAGCTGCTAGCAAACAAGACTAAAGAGAATGACCCATGAGAGATTTCCTGCATTATTTCTCTATAGTTGTGTCACAAATTACCCCAAAACTTGGCAGCTTAAAACCACAATAAGCATTATTATCTCTCAGTTCCCGTGGGTCAGGAATTTGGGAACAGCTCTGCTCAGGTTCTCTCATTAGATGGCAGTAAAGATGCCAGGTTGCGGGG